AAAAAAAGGCAAGAAAAAATTGTGAAAAGAAAGACCAGAAGAAATAGAAAGTATACAGTAACATGATGGAAAAGAATCCAAGTATTATAGTAATCACAGTCAATGTAAACAAACTCAACTTCCCAGTTACAAGATTATGCTTGTTAAACTAAATGAAATAAAGTTTATCTACATTCTGGTTACTAGAGACTTATCTAAAACAAAAGAAGTTTGAAAATAAAAGAATGGAAAAACTAAACCTGTCAAATCCACACTGTGGATGTACTTGTGTCCCCAGTAACAAATAATCCCATTCTTTGCTAAAGTTAAGATACAAATTATCTGGTTCTACCAAAAAAGAGGAGGGGGGTACGAAAGAAAAGGAGGGAAGAGGAGAAGAAAAGAAGGACAAAGAGAGGAATGGACGAAGAGGGGGAAGGTGGAAGGGAGAGATACGGTGACTTCAGTTCTCTAGGATTCACAAAGTTTAGGTCATCTGTTGCCAGGCGAAACCTGAATAGGAATGGGAATGGCCAAGGGCAATTGGAACTGTGTGTATCAAAACCCACTGGGCCCTTTGGAGTCTCTCAAAATGCCTTGTTCACTCTCTGAATCACAAACAGTAACTGATGGGTTTACTTTTAGGATAAGTAGAAGGAAACGTTACAAGAAAAATATCACAATGCTGTATCCCTAGACACATAAACACACTACTTTCACAGTCAGTTAAAAATTTTAATGCCTACATTTTTTTCTTTTAAGAAAAACAGAGAATTAGTTTCCAAATCTATCAAGTAATACATCTTTTTATTTAATATAAGGACCATCTTATCTACTTTGAAGTTTATGTATTAATTTTACTAATTAATAAATTCTGCATCTTAAGCAAAGTTGGGGCAACACATGTACACTTGTACAATTATTTATGATTTAGTACGTCACAAGAAATACTTCACTTTATGAGGAATATTTATAATAATTTTGTTTTAATCCTGATTTTCCAAAGAACATTAATCACAATGTGAATTGCAAAAACTGTTAACAGCTTTTCGGAAACATACAAACTGAATAAAGCAAAGCGCACCTAAATTACTAAGTAGTCTGGTCCTCCAACTATCCAGCTTTAAGCATCTTTATTTAGATTGTGCCCTTCATTAGAACCAGGCCAACTTGCTGTCAGATTACAGTGCCAAGTCTAAGACGAAGTTAAATACCATGGACAGCTGCTTTCTAGGCCAATGACAGCCTAGCACCATAACAGATCAAGGGCCCCCAGCAGCCAGGCCAGGAGCACAGCAAAATGAGCCGAATGACCTGAAACTTAACTGCTTCACATCCTGTAGGATTCAAACTTATTCCTAACGAGCTATAGATATGTTTTAAGAAGAGAGCTCCAACCATCTATAAATAAAAATACCCCCAAAGCAAAAGTCTCTGCTTAGTATGGATATTGCTAAGTCCCAGCCAATGGGCTATCCACTTTAAGTAAAATTCCAAATAATAAAATTTCAGGACAAAATAAAGACATTTTGAAGTTTCCTTGGAGTTAATATTTGGCCCATATATATTCACTGTATGTGAACTAGAGCTTACGAATATTATAATACAGCAAATATTATATAACCCTAAGGGGTATAATGGCCTGCTTAACTCAAGGATTCACTGCAGCAAATTCAGTCTTCAAGGAATGTTTTATAATTCTTGAATCTATAATAATTTATTCCAATTCAGTTTTCATTTAAGAATGAAACATAAAAGGCAATTAACACTTATTGGAAAAAACCCACATTTTCCAACGATCCTGCTAGATGCTTAACATTCATTTCTTCACTTAATAATTTTACTAATCTTATGAAGTAGGAATCATTATTCTCATTTTCCAGTTAGTAAACCGAGGCTCAGAGAGTTAAAATGACTTCTCTGAAATCACTGGGTTTATTACACAACCAGGCTAAAAACTCTTTCCTTTTTGAGTTAAAGCCCCAGGGTTTCTTCAGTATGTCATGACAGTATACAACTTTTTAAAAAGGGTAACAGCATCACTAAAAGAAATAACAACAATAAAAACAAGAACCACACACGAGGTAGAGCAATTAAATGAGATGAGAAACTGTTGCTTTAACTATGAAAATAAAATGCCAGTTTACATTTTTCCATGCTTCACAGTTACCCTATGTGGTACATCATCAATAATGGAACCAAATTAAGATTTTCTATCTGTCTATGAAGCAAGCAGTTTCAAAGATATTCACTGCCTAGAGCCCAGCAGAGTTGACTTTTTAGCAAGAACCATTTGACGATTTGCATAAGAATATCTAAAATGTGTTTCCTCTACCTTCCCAAACTCCCATGTCCCATAATTTTGCAAAACAGGACAATGAAATGGCTTTGCATGAAAACATGCTTAGTATTTTGCTTCCTAAATTCTTGTACAGCACAGTTCTCTCTATGAAGACTCCATTGAAGGCCACATTTGGCTTCAAGTCTTTTTTTCCTAAATGTCTTGGTGATGCCAGAAGCATTTCTATAAGAAAGGCAAGCTACACAGTCAGAATTCACCTCTGCAGCCCAGGGGACTAGATGACCACATTCAAGAATTCATCCCTCTTTTGAACACCTTATGTTCAGTACTTGGGGAGCAAACCTCCATAAATTTCTGAAATCAGGCATTTGGTAAAGGCTGCAATGGCTGAAAAAAATTCCAGCAATAATTCAAAAATAAAATTGGCAAGGTGAAACTTCCTAAAAAAATTACACATCCTTATGCACATTCCACTTAAAAACGTATGACTGTGCCTAGCATTTTTTGAGAAGTACCAAATAAGTCACAGCTTTGTTTAGAAAAAAATCTCTACTTTCATTATTGAATGTCAAAAGAAACATTAATGACTAAATGGAATAAATTAAAACTATTTGGTGCTAAAGGGAAAATAATACAATGAACATTTTTGGGGGCAAACCAGAAACAGAAATCATTAGGAATATAACCTGCTTTCTTTTTTAATTAAGTAAATCTAGAATTTCCAAATTTTAGGATTCACACAATATTAAGTAAAGCACAAAATTATGGTTATAAATAACAAGTGATAAGGGATGACAGCCTGAATTTTTGACTTAAAAATAATCATAAAAAGAATACAACCATCAGCTAGTTGAGTAGGTAAAGATCCTTCCAGGGGTATTTTAATAAATGGTTTATAATTGATTAAATACAGTCTAAAACCTGTATTTGGAAAACTATCTCTAAAATGCATGAAACCATCTTCCACTCCACTAAAGGATCTTCCACCCCACTAAAATCAGAATACAAAATCCTCCCACAATCGTATATACACCATTGGATTGCTCTGCAGATTCATTTTTCATAAATGTTGCCAATATAATATTCAGCCAAGTCTCTAAGTTAATGAAGTTCCACTAGGGTGTAAGAAAACAAGAAAGTACTGAGTTCTCAAAAAGACTTTTCACCATGGATATGCCCAAGAAATTTATAAGACATCAAATCATTTCCTTGCCTCTAAAAAATATGCATTTCCTTGACAATTGTTCAGTACTTTTAACTCCAATAAACACAAGACTATCAATGTAAACCACCCGAACAGACTCGAAGAGAGCGCTTCAAGAATTTTTTTGGCTGCCAAGTTAGGGGAGAACTTCCAATGATGGTCCTGTCTTATGCCCTGAAGATGTACTGTCATATCTGAATGCTTGTTTGCCATATATTTTGCTAAGTGATTTTTTGGTTTTACTATAGTTTCTAACAAGTGAGCATACACCAAGAGAAATGTTAGAAACGTAGTACAAACCATTTCTCTTTTGCATGTAATAAGTAGAAATATTACTAGTTTTTTTTTCCTGCACTTTGCTTCCATTTTGTGGCTGCAATGAAAATGACGGTCATCAAACTTGACTATAAAAGAATTATGTAAATTTAACTAAATTAATATCATTTTTCTTTTCTTTTTGGACAAAATCTCTCACCCCCTGCTCAAACATCTGTTTTGTGTGTGTGTGTGTGTGTGTGTGTGTGTGTGTGTGTGTGTGCGTGCTTTTTTTTTGCATATATGAGAATTTTCCCAGATGCTGGCATGAAAAGTCTATGTATGTATTTTGGCTTTCTGTTTAAAAACACACTCAGAGATGACATTCCACTGCTAGCATATAAATCAGAACTGCATTACAATACCACATACAATTTTATTGATGCCACTTGTCTGCTATTGCTATTTAAAAACATAATTTACATGTTTGCAGGAATTACTTCTAAGCTCTTTACCAATATGCTTTCCACCCATCTAAGTGGCAGGATGGCCACTATTGTTATTAAAACTCTCTCAAATTCTACTCTAAAAATATTTGAAGTCATGTTTATTATGGTGTATAAAATGGGTCATAATGATGCAGAGGCAGATGGCAGGGCTGGCCAATGACTCTCTTTACAATGGATGCTGATCAGTTCCTGGTCAAGTGATCTAAGACATGATTGTGTCAATCACGAAAACAGCCCTGATAACAATAATGACCAGACCTGCTAGGTTGGGCTGCTGACTGGAAGGTACAGCTATGGTGATGCAAACTTTCTTCCTCAGACATATCTAAAGAGATGGTTCTTTCTTGGTAATTGTCATGTGTTCATTTAAAAAGAAAAGGCCTTGCAACTTTTTAGGCACATGCACACTTTCCTATGAAAATTAAATTGCTCACAAAATCATTATGCCTACTTTCAGAAAATAAGAAACCAGTAACTGCTGAATCGGCTCTGGGAGGCTTAGGTAACCTCTATTTACAAGTGTTTTACTCTGAAGCAAGTAGCTGGGGAACTTAGTAAACATCTGCAAGAATACCCTAAAATTATTTTTTCCATTGCTATGTTAGTCTGGCTATCACAGAACTTCAGAATCAATCTGCTATCCACAAGAGCCCCAAACATCATCACACCAAAAAAGTTGCAGATCTCGAAAACATAATATTCAGGACTGTGGTCAAGAAAAGCATTAAATAAAAAAAACACCATCACCAACCTTTGCTTGGGCTTCTGGTGCTGTCACCTTGACGACCTTATTGCGGTTTATCATTTGCTTCACCCATTTTTCGACTTGGACGTTGAATTTCATGAAAACCACATAGAAAAAATAAGCTGTTAAGAGAAGCAAGCTTTCCCACCACATGATAACGTTATCCAGGAAAAATATGATCAGCATGATCAAGTCAACAATGTAGAAGGACACATCTCGAAAGAGTGGCCACCATGTCAGGTTTAAGATTTCTCTAGAAAACAGAGCACACATGCCAATAACAAAGAGGATGTTGAATACTGCGGAACCTACAATGGTGCCTATGCCAACGTTGCTGTGAGCGATGAATACCCCTATGAGAGATGTGAAAAGTTCTGGGGCTGACCCCCCTGCAGCCATAAAGGTGGCTCCAGCCACATCATCAGAGATGCCCAGTTTTTCAGTGATGACAGTCAATGAAGGAACAAAGAACTCATCACAGACAATGGCTAAGGCTATGAACATGTAGATCATTCCAATGACATGGAGAATGATCGCACCTCTTCTTCTCTCCTCAAGGGAAAAGATGTCTCTCGGGTAGTCTCCTTGGGCATGATCTGTACTATTCTCCGACTTGTCTTCCTTTGAAAGAGGTGGCTGTGCAGTATAATCCCGAATCTTGTCATTTAAATCTAAGAGAGTTCTCTGATGGTAACCCTGTGCTGCCCTAGGGCCACTGACAACACTGGCCTCTCCTGTGCTCTGTGTATCTGTCTCAGAAAAGGCACTGATTGAAAATGAGACAGTGCTAATGGCTACCAGACCCATGAAAAGGCCTAAGATTCGAATTAACTTCAGTTTTTTCTTGACATTATAATGTCTCCTGCAGCCAGACAGTGACTCATCCAAACACCATTTCTCCAGGAACGTGATGGTGGTGCTTTGGTGCAGATCCATCCTGGGTCTTCTGGTGGATGTGGTGATCTTCCAATTTTAGGCTCAATCAGTTGGTTCTTTCATACTTTTCCTTACTTTGTAGTTAACGATGCTTGTGGGGCACGTCCACAATCAGGGATTCTTATGCTTCACGGGAAACTTTCATCATTTATGCTTAAATAAAAAATAAAATTGAGAATAAGTAAATTTTAAAATCATGTCTTTTTAAATAAATGTTTTTATTTAAATAAAAAAGATCTGATAATTTATTTTATCAGATCTTTGCAGATATGATAAAGTCCTGTCCTGCAGCTGTGTGATCTTGGGTTACTTCTCTGTGCCTCAGTTTTCTCATTTAAGATGGGGACAATGATAGTACCTACCACCCAGGATTGTTTTTAAGATGAGCAAAAGCATATGTAGCATTTAGAATAGGATGTGGCACTCATGAAGATGTATGTATAAACCCAAATAAATATTTTGGTAAATTCAACGTTAGATGTAGAAAATGTAGATGTGTGTAAGAATAAAAATTTTATAGGTGAAAATCTATCAGATTATCTCACCTTAAATCACGTAACAACCTTCCAGTGCTATGAAGGTCCTGCTTCTTTCAGAACTGTCTAGGTACTTGACAACTAACCATTATTCATTATGTTTTCTTTTAGTCCGATTATGTAATTCTCAGTTGTAGGCACATTCTTCTGATTTAATCTGTCATTTGGAAAGTGAGTGTTTCTTTAATTTAGTGATCTTTTTCTGCACACACAGTGATATTATCTTATTTTTCATAAAAAACCCCTCCTTTATCAGATGGGGGGCAAGTAGTCCTTTACAAATTTAAGTTTACAAAAAAATATTCTGGTGACATGCATGCACAAGCTGTCTTCCATAAACATCTAGACATTGTTTTTAACTAAAGCTTCTTTTAAAAAAACAACCTTTAGTCATATTTAAAATAGGCAGCTTAGTAAGTCAAACAACTCCCAATGCAGTGAAATAACAAGCAGGCTATTTCGAGAGACCACATGTGTATCTCATAAATACGCAAGTTGTAGCAATACCTCTGTCCCCAAAATCTGCCCAGAATAGCCCTAACACTGACTTTAATAGGTTATATATCCAAAGCAGAGTTTTCATTCTCTATCCCATGGAGGAGATAGGTAAAATAGCCAGACACAACAGCTGATATTCTGAAGTCTTCTTTTTAGTTTTTCTTTAAAAAGATTATTCTTTTCCATATCAACGATTTCATTTTGGAGGCAGGCGCTGAGATAATCTCAGGTGTAAAATAAGCTAATTAAACACACGCCACTTAAACACTGAGATTAGCTGGAGCTCAGGTTTTCTGAGCAAAGCAAGAGCACAAATTAACCCAAGCTGAGTTGCTGCTACTCTTAAGATAACCCGAACCCATCACGGAGATTCGCGGCTGGCTGCGAACGTCAACGCTTAGCAGGGACGATTAAGCGATTCACAGCACTCTGGGGACCGTCAAAATGCTCGGCCCGGGCGACCGGCAGGGACAGACTCAACTCCCGGGGCACAAAGTCACCTCCACCCCGGTCCTCGCTCCCCCTGCAAACCCACCTCTAGTCTCCTCAAGAGCTGCCTCCGTAGGAGAAGTTCGCCCCCAGCCGCGCCCCAACTTTGCCTTGCGTGGTCCCAAACTTTCCCTGGTGGATTGATAGGAAAATAAACCTAACGAATAGACGCCCCACCTGTGAGGTTAGAGCTGGGTTGCATTCGGTGAGGCGCTTGGCCCGCTTCCCCCTGGGTAGTTTGTAGGTGGTTGGGGAAGAGAAGCGTCCCTCTGCGCGTCTCCCCCGACGGCAGGCCCTACCCCGCGCCCCCCATCCCAAGCCAGAAGCAAGGGTAGCAGTGGCGGGGGGTCCAAATCGGCGTCCCAGAGCAGACAGAGTTGGCTAACTCCTAGCGGGGCCTGGGGCGCCCACATCCCCGGCAGAGCCACCTGTGAGCCGGCGGCGCAGCAACTGGATGCGCGCAACCCGGATCCGGGGAAGACGACCACCGCGACTACCGCGGCGGGCTGGGCGCAGCCGCCGGCACTTACCAGGATAAGCTGGGAGGACCCGCACACGGCGGGACCCCGAGCGCGGCCCGCCGCTGCAGTCCGCCGCCCTCTCCGGCCCTCCGCCTCCCCGCTCCGAGGCCCGGGCTCCGGCTTGCGCTGGCCGCCGCTCTCGCCAGCCGGGGCTGGGCTCGGGAGGAGACTGAGCCGCTGCGAGCCCGGCGCTCCGAGTCTGGCGCTGCCCGGCCCCCGCCGGCCCCACCCTCTGGGCTGTGCGCGGGGAGCGGGGCCGCAGCGCGCTCAGCTCCCGAGTCCTCTGCTCCACGCCTCCTGGGCGCAGAGGCAACGCTGGCAGCCGTCTCTTAGGAGATTTCTCCGCAGTGTGGACGGGGGTCAGGATTTGCAGGCGAGCAAGGGCAGAGAGGAGAAATCGTACAGGTCCGTGACGCGCCTAATTCCCCAAGCCTGAAAGTGCTGTCAACTTTGGGGTCATCTTAAGCTGAGCACTGCCTCTCTAATTATCTGCAAAAAGTGGTAACAGCCGCGTTTTTCTGTAGGAGGCGATGTAATATGTAACGGTGAAAAAGACGTTCAGTGAAAAGGCACGGAGGCCTGCAGGACAGGCTGTTGGAGTCCAGGGCTTCTTGAGTGTTGGATTTGGATGCCTGGGACACTGCAGGAGCTTTAGTCTTGCAAGCTGACCTTTCATTTCATGGGTGATGAAAGTGAGACCAAGACCCAGTGCCATTTTGCATCACTGACAGGCTTCGGCTTCTGGCCTCAGGACTTCCAGCCCAGTGCTCCTTCCTGTCCTGTCTGGAAAGCAAGATCCCCTTGACCACAAGAAATAGAATCAGGCTTGTTGGGGATTAGAGGCTAGGCGCTGGGCCAAAGAATGGAAGACGGTGGTAAGACAAATTGGTAGTGAACCCCTATGACCCTGCCCTGCAACCACCAGCAAAGCTGCCAAGAGGTACCCACCTCGTGAAGCTCTGGAAGCTTTTCGCACATTTTCCTCTCTCCTTAACCTCCATCCTTCTGTTCTCTCCCCCATCCAAGAGGTTTCTTCATGCCCTCCTTATGATGGGGGTAATGAGTATATATCCTGAGAGCTCATAACCTCTGATTTAGAGTACAGCTCTGTAGTGAGACCTCTGTGCCTACTCATCCATAAGTCAAAGGAAGACTTGGGAACTTAGAAATCTTTTTTTCCCCCCTTCGAATCCAGGCATTCAAGACTGGACTTTTTCTTTTTCTTTCTCTTTTTGAGACCGGATCTTGCTATGTTGCCCAGGCTTGTCTTGAATTCCTGGGCTCTAGCAATCCTCCAGTCTCAGACTCCCAAGGGCTTGCAGACTACAGGTGCCTGATTGAATTTTATCTTTAACTTTTAATTTAGAAAATTGCAAACATACACAAATGTAAGAAAATAGTATAATCAATCTCCATGGGGCCATCACCAACTTGAACAATTATGAACTCTTGGCCAATCATATTTCCTCTCTACCCCCTCTTCCTGTGTCATTATTTTGAAGCAAATCCCAGAGGATCATATCATTTTAGCTGTAAATATTTTCAGAAAGCAATAAAACTATCAACTACCACTAGGGTTGTGTCAAGAAGACTCAGGGAACAATTCAAATAGGATCTCACTGACCATAGATGGGCTAATTTGAGCATCAATAATAATAATCACAATTGTTTAAAACACATCTAACATATCTATAAATTCATAATTTTTAAAAAACAACTGAACGAATTGTTGATTATGAACAGATTATCTCAAGTTTTTAATTTGCGTTTATCTGATAGTGATTTTGAGCATTTTTCATGTTTGTTGGCTGTTTGTATATCTTCTTTAGAGAATTGTCTATTCATGTCCTTTGCTCACTTTTTGATGGGATTATTTGCTGTTTCCTTGCTAATTTGTTAGAGTTCCGTGTAGATTCTGAATATTCGTCCTTGGTCGGATGCACAGATTGTGAAGATTTTCTCCCACTCTATGGGTTGTTTGTTTACTCTGCTGATTATCTCTTGCTGTGCAGAAGCTTTTTAATTAGGTCTCATTTACTTATTTTTGTTTTTATTGGATTTGCTTTTGGGGTCTTAGTCATGAATTCCTTGCCTAAGCCAATGTCTAGAAGTTTTTCTTATGTTATCTTCTATAATTTTTATGGTTTCAGGTTCTCCCCCTACAGCCCAGAGATGACCCTGAGTCTTGATTTGGTGAGAAGGGGGATGAAATCCGGATGAAGACCTGATGAGCCCATAGATTGTATTGGTTGGGGTTTGCACTTGGTTGCATAAAAATTCATTCTTGGTGATTAAACCAAACGAGATTTTATTTTTCTCATGGTAAAAAGAAGTCTGAAAGCAGACTGCCCAGAGTTTATAAAATTGCTCCAAGATGCTGTCTGGGAACCCAGATCCTTTGATATGTCTTTCTTATTGTATGGCTTTATCTTCATGGCTACAAAATGGTTTCTTCCTTTTGCATCACATCTGTGTTCCAGGCAGGAAGAAGGGAAAGAGTAAAGGGTGAAAGGTAGAAGGCCTCCTCGCTAGGCTTTTGTCTTTTTATTTAGGAAAGGACACTGTCAAAGCTTCACTTACATTTATTTCACTGATCACAACTTGGTCACATGGTCAGACATAGTAAGGGAGTATAAACCATATTTTAACTGGGCACACAGTCACCTTTTAGAAAATCAGGGATCTGTCAGTAATGGAGAAGAGAGAAATACATGTGCGAGTGACTAGAATTATTTGACACACAGTTCCAAAGCATTTCAATGAGATCCATATTGGACTGAAGATTTGGCAGTTGACCATGAACTTGGCAATTAACTGCCACAATAGTTGAGAAGGCTACAACTGCCATCCTGCTAGTAATGGAGAAAAGCAGGGCCTGTCATTTGTCTAAATCACACAACATGGAAGCAGAGGAATTGTGTAACACCTGTAGGTCTTCCAGATCCACAGACCTTATTGTCTAGTCATAAAGAAGAAAATTTACTACCATCAAATGGTGAGGTATTAAACAGTAGCGCTTGCTAAGAGACTCAAGTAGATTAATCAATGGGTCTTTTTTTAGAAATTACTAAGGAGCTCTTTCTTTACATTTGTAGATACATGTATAAGCATAAACATTAGTTGGCATTATATTTACACTTCTATTAGTTGTAAGATTTGTTTGAACATGTAGTTTATAGCAGTCATTGGTATTACCAGTTAAGAACAATGGGCTCTTTTTGCTCTGAAGAGGAGGCTTTCAAAAATCAGTAATGAATTTTAAAAATCACCGGGTCACACCTAAGCTAATAAAGAATTTTTAATATAAAACTGCCAAAGCGGTACTAGTTAATAATAGTTTTGCTAAGCACCCATATCATTTTCACATAGCTATCTAGGATGGCATGATTTAAAATAGGGCTAGGAATATTCACTTGCCCCATATGAAATAATATCCTTAGGGGGCCACTTTGTCTACAATTCCAACATTAGAAATTCATTGCATTGGCTTTATAATTTATAACTTCCAGAATTTTTAAATAAGTAAGTGGCTATGAAGTCATTGTAATGATTATTGTTTTTTTGATTTGACATTCAGTCTCAAGGGAAAAAAATTCTAGTAAACTACCATGAGGGGAAGGTAAAAGAGATAGCTGAGGGCCAGGTGCAGTGGCTCACGCCTGTAATTTCAGCATTTTGGGAGGCCTATGTGGGTGGACCACCTGAGGTCAGGAGTTCAAGACCAACCTGGCCAACATGGTGAAACCCCATCTCTACTAAAAATACACACAAAAAAAAAAAACAGCTGGGTATGATGGTGGGTACCTGTAATCCTGCCTACTTGGGAGGCCAAGGGAAGAGAATCACTTGAACCCGGGAGGCAAGGGTTGCAGCGAGCTGAGACAGCACCATTGCAGTCCAGCCTGGGAAACAAGAATTAAACTCCGTCTCAAAAAAAAAAAAAAAAAAAAAGATAGCTGAATCATAAAGTTGTGGGCAACCCAGGGACACAATGAAGTACAGTACTCATACTTTTTTGTTAGTTTAATCATGTCTTTCTTCATTCTCTCCACATATACCACTTTTTTTTCTGATTTTTATTAAAATCTCTAGCTTCTGTTATTAAAATTGGCAGGCAACCAGCACACATATGAAGTATTCAATGTGCACAAAAGCAGTAGCTCCAAACCTTGACTTTAGTTAAACAAAATAACTGGGGATATTTTTAAAAGGCTCCTGATAATGACCCTCACTCTCCTACCATTACTAGGAGCCCCGTGAGAGCAAAGAGCCAGAATCATGCATTTCTCAGCATCTAGCTCTGTGCTTGGCATTTGGCCAACATGTATCTGTGGAATGAATTAAGATGATGGCAAATACAGTTACTTAAAGGAAGGTGTGTCAATCCGGAGGATGTAGGTTATGCTATGGTAACAAAAAGTTCAAAAATCACAGTGGCTTAAAACAATGAAGGTTTTTGTTTCTCACTTGTGCTACCCGTCCTTTGTGAATTTTGCTGCGTCATTCTCACTCCTAACCCCAAGCTGGTCACTATCTGGAACACTGCCTTTTGCTGTTGCAGAGAGAAAAGATGCATGGTAAACCTTGAACTTGCTTTTAAAGCTTCAGCTTGGAAGTGATACATCACTGCTGCTAATATCTCATGGACTGAAGCAAATCAGATGGTCATATCTATTTTCAAGGGAGGAAGAAAGTTCAGTTGCACTGTGTGTTTGAGAGAAGAATGGAAAGATTTGGTGATCCTCAATAATAACTACCACAATGGGCATCAGTGGTGGAAAAAGGGAACTGATATGTTATGCACCTACCACGAACTAGAGTGTTTGCTAATCTCTTTTCAATCTCACGAGTTTTATCACTGTTATTATTCACAGATGAAGAAACTAAGGCTCAATGAGGTTAAGTAGCTTGCCAAATACCAAACAGCTCTCATGTGAATCCAATAATGACTCCAAAGCCCGAGTTCTACTATTCCTCATAGTATATCATAGTCTCTGCCTAAAAGTTAGTTGCATTTTTTTCCTGTTGAGATTATATACTTAGACAGAACCTATGGATTTCTTCTACCAAGAGCTGGTCAACAATTGAGGATAGCTCTCTACTTCCTAAAAGGATCTGCTTTGCTTATTT